GGAAAAAGAGATTAATTCTTTAGATAAAAACTTATTCATTTTCAAATAGAATGATAAAAGAAACTTATTACAATATTGTCTGGAATTTTATTTTTTTGGAAACTTGATATAATTGACATGTGAGTTTAAAATATCAAATTTTAATAGAGGAACATACCACACTACTAAACTCAATTAGTAAAAGAAACTTATCCAAATTAGCATTTCAAACTGCTGAAATAAAAGATTCACATACAAACTTCTCAACAACGAGGAACAGCTCTATGAGAAGAGAAAAATCAATAAACTAAAACACATAATCTCACTAAAAGGTACTAAAAACACTCAAAATTTATCAAATATTATAGATATGAGAGACTAAATTCAAGAATTGTTCCAATGATCACAGATTTGTAAATTATTGAAAAGAAAATTAAATGAAATAAAGAAATTAATAGAAAGGAACGATGAATCATCACCGATCAAGAAGACAGTGGTTGGAAAAACAAAATTAAAAAACACCAAAAGAGAAAGGAGAATTAGAGAAAGAGTTAGGTTTCATAAACTCTTACATGTTTGACTTTAATTGTAATAAGAGCTACTTATGTAAGCGGGTCATTTTAGTTTAGAAATCATAATTCTTGTAATCATTAATAAAATTAGATTTAGATAGTAATATTATTTCCGGGGCATATTTTGTTAATGCCAAAGCAAAGAATATTTTTTAATATTATATATATTGCTAAATTGCCTTTATCAAATTCAACATATATCTTAAATAGAGATGAAAGTGGTAGGTATCCACAAAATTTGCATTGTTCGCATCCAAATCCGCTTAAAAATTTCGATACTCAAATCCATTTAAAATTCCTTTTAATCATATTCACATCCATTTAAAATTTTAATATCCACGACCATTTAATTATTGTCTAAATCTACTTTAAATGGGTCGAGGATGAATAGAATAACAAGAATCCACTTTGCTTATACGTGCAAGACCTCACTAAGCCTATACAGTTGATGTTCGTCAAGCATTGAAAGTGAACAGTGGAACGAGGGAAGAAAAAGTATGAATGAGTGACAATTCTAAAAATTCTAGTTATGTAATATTTATTCAAGTAATTAATTTTTTTGGTACTTGATGATATTAGAGTCTGGAGTAGGGATGAAAGCGGTGCAGGTATTTCAAGATATCAGCTCCTTTCCGATCCGTTTAAATAGGATATGGATAGTTACAAATGCGTTTGGGACGGATACGATAGCGAAAATACTACCCGTAATAGATACGGGTCTATTACGGGTGGGGTACGAATATAGATTTTTGGATACCCGCTATACATTATTGGGTACCCACGGGTATCCTATCCACTATTGATAAAAATTGTATTTTAAATAAATTTGGATTTATATAGTTAAAATTCATGGATAGCCTACTTGTATAAGAGTATTTTAAACGGATTTTGGACATGTGCGAATAGTAAAATATTAAACGGGTTTGAATACGGGTACTTAAATATATATTTCAATGGGTTTTAAATGGACATGGATAATAAATTTTAAATGGATATGGATAGCTTAAATTTTGCGAGTACCCGTTCCGCTTCCATCCCTAGTCTGGAGCTTTGTGCTTGAGTTTAATTTATTTTAGTTTTAATCAAATATTGAACCCAATTTGCACTTAAATTTTCACTTGAATTTTATTGTATTAAATATTTTTAAATTATATAATAGATTTTGATGGATAAAGGAAACCACACTCAATCCGAGCTCGCATCCATCCCAAACCTATTTAGTCAATATCTAAACTTGCTACAAATGGGTTTTTGCTTGTCGGATACCCATGATAATCTGCCCCCCTTCCATCCCCAATCTTAAACATAATTTATCCAAACAAAACACCTTATATTGTGTTAATTTTGTTTATATTAATGTAATGATTATATTTTGTTTTCTCAATAAATGGATTGGCTTTAACCCATTCCCCTAAAGTTAGCTCAAGGAGAGAAGGATTAACCAAATCTTATGTTTTGAATAAATAATCTTATTTCAAATCAATACGGAATAACATGTTTTTCAGAGATTAATTGACTTTTCTTACTATTATATAATTTTACTTAATGCATAAATTTTTTCCCGAAATTTACACATTTAATATTGTGGCAGGCACCCTTAAATTTGCTACAACCTACTGTGTTTCTGATATTGTCCATTTTAGTAATAACTATGTTCCTTAGCAAGACCACAAAACTATCATGAGTTTCAAACATTGGAAGAAGAGTGAAGACCTGACGCATTGTCTATCTGGACCGCTGAAATAGTAAGATTATTTATGTTTATCAATAGCGTTAGTGAAAGTGACCAAAAAGCCATAAAGGAAAAAAAAAAAAAAAAAAGAGTGAAGACCCTGACGCATTGTCTATCTGGACCGCTGAAAATAGTAAGATTATTTTATGTTTATCAATAGCGTTAGTGAAAGTGACCAAAAAAGCCATAAAGGTTAAAAAAAAAAAAAGTCTAAAAGGAAAAAAAAAAAAAAAAAAAGTCTATTGTCTATAGGTAAAAGCGTAAATATGATTCTTTATCATCAATTAGCCACTATATGTTTTTTTGAGAATTCGTTTATTTCCTGAGAAAAATGCAGAGCAGGAAAAATAAATGCAAAAGGTCGTTCTCTGGAAAAATATACCTCTCACCCAAGTTTAAGAAGATAGAAAATGTTGAAATAAGATCAAAGTTCCTATTTAAATTTGTACCATTTTAAGCACATAATCAAATAAAATACATACGTCTATAAAACCGACATTCAGACTATTCACCATTTACGGCGAAAATTAGCCGGGACTATTCCAGCATGATACTATCTCGAGGAACATATGGGCATGGCGAGATCTGTAATTTTCTGTCCAAGAAATAAAATTGCAAGATTAAATTAAAGTGTCTGAAATTTTAAGAGCAAAAGAAATTGAAAAAGTCAAGAAGATAGATTGTATTATTTTTCTTTTTTTTTTTTTGAAAGCAAACACAAAAGCTTGCATTAATAAAACAAAGGTAATAAACATTATGAAATAGAATTTCACTCTCAAAAACGAGCAAAAGAATAAGAAGCATTAGTTAAAGAATGAACTCTTATAATAATTTGTCTCTCAATCCATCGAATAGTCATATTTAATCTTGATGCTCATTAAAATTTATAATAAATTTTCGAAATTAAAATCACCTCTAAGAACATCAAGATTTCGCTAATTCAAATGAAGCTTTGGATGCATGAACATTATAAGTTATAACTTCAGTTCGATTTGTTTTTCCCCACAGGTATCTGACAATGTGTAGATGTGAAGGGTGGTATGGAGCATGAAAAGTGCACCATTACCAAATTTGGAGTAATAAATAATAATGAATTCCAAAAGTGTTTTTAATATGTATATAAGTATAAAGGGAAAGGAAGTATTTAGCAAGTTGCATGAGATGCACTGAATTGCAATAGAACTCACTCACATGCCTTTTATTTATTTATTTATTTATTTATTTATTTTATTGAGTGATCTAAGGAACATCTCCTTAATTTCTCATATTCATGTTGACCAAATCCTTTAAACCATTTCTTTTTATATACTACTTGACATCTTTTTTCTTGTTTCTGAACAACCGTCCATCATGGGCTTCCAATTTTTATATATATATAATATAATATATAGTGATAGACGGTTCTAAATTAATTTTTCAATTACTTAAAAAATAAATGTGGGAATCAATCTTTACATATTATACTAGATTCATCTTTTTTTTTTTTTTTTTTATTATACTAGATCATCTTTTTTTTTTTTTTTTTTAATCGTATGAAAAGCAATTTATACAATGAAATGGAAAATTCATATTCGGTGTTTTTTTTTTTTTTTTTTTATCGTATGAAAGCATTTATACAATGAAAATGGAAAATTCATATTCGGTGGAATTTAAATTAAATTATCTCTATCGTAATGTATTTGGTGGGATTTAAATTTAAAAAAATTTTTCAAACTTTTTTTTTAATATAAAATTTCAAATCATCATAGATATTTACATGGTATTTGAAATAAAATTTATTGTATAATTTCTTTGCAAATGGATATTTTTATATTCGAATGAACCATGAATTCCTTATAAATATTATAATTTTTATTAAATTATATTTAGTAGTTTTAATGCCTCGTACTCCAATTAAGTTTAAAATTCATTTGCAACTGCAAATTTTGATACGATTAAATTTAACCATAACCAATTCTATAGGGTAGAAAATGTAAAATTCTAAAAATGCATTTATTCCAAACAACACAATCTAGATTTGAAAATAAATTTTATTAAATTTTATGATATTCGTTTACACAAAATAAGATTTGAAACTCTGAAAAAAAATGTATTGATTGAGTTTTACTTTTCATTTTAGTAATAAAAATTTTAATTATTATTTTTAAAAAATTTTCCAAATTTAATTTGAGTTATTTCTTTTAATTTGGTAAAAAAATAATTTAATACAACATATATAATATATATAAAATTAAATTTACAACATTGTCTTCCTAGAATTAAAAAATATAAATAATAATTATTCTATGGAGACAAAAAAAATAACATCCACATGTGGGAAACCTTAAGAGCATGTTGTGTAGGCAAATAGTAATAAGGGGATTATTTCAGCAAATCTTAAAGATAGATAGTGTATTTAATCTAATAAAAAATGGACACTTGTGCATTGGGAAACCACATATCATAAATGGATTATGGTTATGGACCTATAAATAAATAAATCTCAATTCTTTAATAGAAAAAATAATTGTGATGTGAAATAAAATTAATAAAATTTTGGAAAAAAAAAAAAGAAAAACAATAATCTCTCTCTCTAACAGTAGGGCCATTTAATGTGAATAACAAGTAATAAAGTTGGTGTCACACTGTTTAGGTGTTGGGCTTTTTTAGAGAGAGAAAGAAACAGAGAGAAAAGAGGTTTTCTATTTCTGAACTTACAAACTTTCTAGAGAGTAGTCTAGGGGTGGTGAACCTTGGAAGACACATACCCCTCAGTTTCTAAAACCAGCAACTTCTTGTCAGCAAAACCCCACTTTGAATAGGAGAATTCACTGAACCCAACCATTTCTTGCTTTCTCTCTCTAACATTTCCTATGAAATGAATGAATGTTTAAAATTAAAAAAAAAAAAAGAAATAATAAATAGTAATAATTATACAAATACAGTGCAAGAAACCAACACCCATCAAAATAATTCTTCTCCATTTATTCTGACAACATACAAACTTTCTTTTCACCTTCCCCATTCTTTCTTTTCTTTCAGTTAAAGAGAGAGATAGAAGAAAGAAAGAGATCTAAATATGAGCAGAGGAAGAATTTGATTTCATAGAAACTCTCTTGAGAATCAAAAGTTGATTGTGCATTATCATTTATCTTTCTTCTTCTTCTTTTCTATTTTTTTTTCTCTTGCCTTATTTGGAATCGGCATCAAAAGCTAGACCATATTTGTGTTCTTCTTGACAGGTTTACTTCTTCTTCTGGTTTCTTGCATCTTTAATTAAATTTTCTTATCTTTGATTCCTTTTTGGACTGTTCTTTAATCTTGTACGAATATTACTGGGTTTTCCTTAATTTTTCTTGGGTTTATACTTTATATATAGTACAACAAAGCTAGCAAATCTTCAAGATTCATAGGAACAAAACAACCACTTGAATTTGAGCAATTTAAATGACCCATTTGTTCTATTTTGTTTTTATTTGATGCTATGTTTTGGTGAGTTTGTTATAAAGAGAATTTATGAACTGATATTAGCCTTCCAAATTAGAATTTCAGGAAGTGGGTATGAATATTGAATGTAATTTTATGATTTTTTGTTTAATTTTTATTGTTAAATTTTTTGTTCTATAGATTCTTGGTACATGTAAACTGACAAATCCTTTTTTTTGTTTTCTTTTGAAATCCAGTTGGGTAATTAGAGACGAAGTTTCTTGGTACGGATAATTGAAGGCAGCTGGATTCTCTTGAAACAGGAAGATAGAAACAAGATTATATAGAATATAAAGAATGGTTAAAAGAGTCGTACATTGTTGTTCTTGGTGGAATTTCAAATCATTTCTGTCTTTCTTGTAAATTTGGCTTTAAATCTGGCACATATTTCTTGCAAATTTGAAGCACCAATTGTCCACATTTTGATCTAAGAGGAAGAATTAGGGTTCTGAAAGAAACACAATTTTCTTGGAAGTTTAACAAGTGTTAATTGTGGGTTTTGAAGGTCAAAGGCTTGTTTGATTTTCTTGATCTGAGAACAGCAGATAATTTCAAGAAACCAAGGGGCAGTTCTGTTGCATTGTGGAATACTTGAAAAATTTTAGGGGTTTTGGGGATTTCATGATTAAATGAGTTTTGGGAAATCTGAAACAGATTCCAGATTTTCAAGAAGTGCCATAATCAATCTTCAAGAACATTGTTCAAGCAAAATTATGGGTTCAAGAGCAAGAAAACCAACTACTGCAATTTCTTCACAATCATCACCACCACCACCACCTCGATTTAGAGTAGTAGAGCAAAAGAAAATGGAGTATCAAAGATCTCTTTCATCACAAGGTAGTGCAAGAAGATTGTTGCCTTCAAGTTATTTTAGTTTGGAGTCATTGCTATTGCTAATATGTCTTACAGCTTCTCTTTTGATCCTTCCTCTGATACTTCCACCATTGCCACCACCACCTTTCTTGTTGCTTTTGCTTCCCATAGGCATATTAGGTGTTCTGATGATCTTAGCTTTTATGCCTACTAATGCAAGGGATATAACTTATACATATGTGTAAATGGTGTTTTAGAAACAAAGAAAGAAAAAGGAAAATGCGCCTGTTTTTTCTTTCTTACATTACATACAAATTTTGTATTTTTGTCTTCTAAATGTTGAAAAAAAAAAGAGATAGCAGTTCTTTTATTTCTTAATTAAGGCTCATTTTGTTATATCTTTATGCTTATTAATATTGTATTTGATATTTTTATATCATAGATCGCATTGGATTAATGCCATTAATGCTATTTATGATGCGGCTTGTGAAGTTTTTATCACAGTTATTGCCTCTTCCAATTTCCAACTCTCACAACTCTCATATTGCTTCATCCTTGAGGTCTTTATCAAATTATGACGAAGTGTAAAATTAACTGTTTTGAGTAGAGATAAATTTTTTATACGATATCATAACATTTAAAACTAATTTAAACCTTATATTATTAAACACTATAAAACATAGTGATAATGTTTTGACAGAAGTTGCTTTTCATTACGTTGTTGTCTTATTGAACACTATGAAAAATAGTGTTTATGTTTTGACAGAAGCTACTTAAAAATGAAAAGCGATAGCAGAAGCTCAATGCTCCTAACTCTTATGGTAGTTTTCAAAATTTTTTTTAATTATTATTCGGCTTTATCTCATTGTAGAAACTTAATTTGAAAGTCATTTTCTTTAATTTTCAAATCTTATAATCATTTTTCATTATGAAATAAAATTACATAAATTAAAATTAAAAAGTGGGCTATAAAAATTAGAATCCTCTAAATTAGGAGTTCCTAAACTCTTAATTTTTTTAATTAATGAAATTAAATTACAAACAAATTATGCAATTGAGGATTAGTTGTTGTAATTTAGTTCTAATTAATTAAAGGTTAAATTTACAATCTCGCACCATTAAAAGTAATTCGAAAATTCCAAGTCACTCGTTCAAAATTGATGCCTCTCAACTTTTATTTTTAATAATATAATTTTAATCATATTTCATTTACTTTCTCATAGTTTCTTATCTTAAAAGGTAATTCAAATAAGGAAAAGAAAAAAGAATAAACTTTTTTCCCTTATTGATATTCGTGTTTAGCATTTAGTTATCTGAATTCAATTTTTACAATTAGCATTCATTTAGCATTAATTTAGGAGTAATTTAGTTAATTATTTTTATTTTTTTTCTTAAATAATTTTCTTAATTCATATGAAAAGTTCAAAGCAGTCAAAAATTATTTTTCTTATTTTCTCTATTTTTTCCACCATTTAATATAGAAAGTAGGAATTGAGTATACATGCTCAAAAATTAATTTTCTTGAAAATGTTTCAAGCAAACATCTAAATACAATTCTGTCAACCTACTTTGTTGTGACATTCCAATAATCAAATATGTTGGATATGTAAAATTGAGTAAGAGGCATAATTCGATTATTCTTATCTAATCGTCTACGGATACGGTGTGAACATAATTAAGATTGGTTTAATGGGATCTAATTCAATGGACTAAGGATATCTATAGTGTTAACGATGAGATTGATGCAGCTCAAGCACGATTAAGATTAGTTTAATGGGCTAGAAACACAGTATAAAGCAAAAAAGAAAAAAAAATCAATAGAACTAATTATGTAATTATATAATTATAAGCAAAGTAGAATGAAAACAAAAAAATCATATTACTGAATTAATTAGTTTAAAAGTAAAGTTTAGTTGTGGGTTTAGTTGTGGTTTATGTATAATATAAAGGGTTTGTTCGATAAATTAGCTGCTTGAGCAACTTGAAACTAAACGTTACAAGTTAGTCTTTCATAAAAAGCTATTTTTAATTTTTAAAAATCAGTTCAAACAATATATTATCGAATATTATAAAATATAGTATTTACCATTTTAAGTAGTTAAAATACTAAAAAATACTTAAAAAGCTGCCGTGAGTTATGGTTATAGAATTAATGAGTTGTGTAATTAAAAATTAATTAATTAATTAAATCTTTGGCTGCAAAATATTTGTGTTGACAATTCAAAGAAAATAGAAATAGAAAACCATAGGCTCATTGTTTCTGTACATAAGGAAGAAGACCAAAACCGTAGAATTGAAGTTGGGAAAATAAAGAGTTATAAAAAGGAACAATTCTTTTCTTGAACCAAGAAATTAGAAAGAGACATGATGTGTTAGCATTATACTAGAAACTTAATTTAATTGGATCACGACATGTGCTATGATTTGGTCAATTTTGCATTGTTTGACCATAAATTAGGAACTTTGCATTCATCTAACCTCAAACGCTGTCAATATATTTTGGGTAATTTATTAAATATTAGGAGATTAAGCAAATTTTAAATTAAAATAACTTTTTAGTTGTTAATTTTTTAGTTGTAGTTTGGATTCTATGTTTATTCTCAAAAAAAAAAAAAAAAATTCATAGATTGGTTGGATCTTTCTTATTAATCCCAAAATGATGAAATTTATTGTAACTTTTTAAAAAAATAAATAAATAACAGAATTTCATCCATCCAAAACATCATTTACTTTTTCATTTATATTAATTTTAGATTTCAAAATAAATATTATTATTTAGGTGAAAGGACTTGTCAGTTAAACAAAATGAACACTTCAAGCAATAAGAATAAGGTAATAATCCCATGCCTCACCTTTCAACTAACTAAAAGTTAAGTATTTCACTTAAAAATATGGGACTAAAAATGAAAATATTATTCCAAGTAAAAAACAACATTTGGGATTAAAAAACAAGCAATACTAATTGATTGGGAATCATTTAGTTCATAGCATAATTTATTAATTCAATTTGTTTTCAAAATAATTTACCTTTTCAAGAAATTGCAAGCGATTTATTTTCTTGAAAAATATTTTGCAAGCGATTTATTTTCCGTTGCAATATTGAAAATTGATTAAATGTATTAAAATTTTTAACTCATAAGACAATAATAATAATATAAATTTTGTATTTTAAAAATTTTATTGTTAAATATGAGAATAATGTAAAAAATGGTAAATTATAAAAGTTGCTGGTAACCGATGGTGGTCCGTTGTGAATAGTGAATAATGATAGTACCTACTAATGATTAATAAATTAAAAAAATTATAATAAATTTGTAAAAATCTACTCATGAAAAAGAGAAATTATTTTCCTTTGATTTATTAATTTAATTTTTCTTTGATAAAAAAATATTTTCCGTTGATTTATTTTCGTAAATGTACCAAACAACAGAGGGAGTCTTAATCTTTCGTTATTTTAAAACCGTGCATACTACTTTGGAGATCTTACCACTATAGAAATTAGAAAGATCGGACCCCAAAAGACAATTATTAATATAATAGTAATAACTAATAATCATAGCGACAGAGGATTCGTAGCAGCCTCCTAAGCCAATGTCTTACCCATCAATCCAATAAGATAACAATTTATATCCAAAAGCTAAGAGTCAAATTGTCATGTGAAACAACATTTGGAATTCTGAACCCATATTTGCAAACCCAATTTCAAATCTTTTTCAACCCTGCCGCCGGCGGCCATATTAGAACCGCCCCACACGGTTGAATTTATGACGACCAACATTTTTGACATGGCCAAAAGTATCCTCCTTTTTCCAAAGGTGACAATTCAAGCAACAAATATTACTACACGGCTAAATAGCACCCGGTTGGATATACTTACGGAATTTCCTTTACCATTTCTTGACATGGCTAAAAGCCGCCATCTCCATTAGCTCATCATGAATTCTTACAGTTCAAAAAGAAGAGAAGGAAAAAAGAGACCGATATTCGACCGTTAAAATTACTATTACTAGTCTGATGGAGATAGAAGGAAAGCGTGAAGAATAAAGAGGGAAGATGAAAAAAATAAATGACAGGATAATAGAACAAAATAATGAAAAATGCAAAAGAAAGATGAGAAAAAGAAAAAGAAAAGATTTATACTCGGCTAATATACATTCGCACCATATATCAACCCTTTGTGACAACAGTTGCTCTGTGTCATATATATTACAGATCATCATTCGCATCCATTAACAGATGATATATAAATATATATATGATGTATATGCTATAGAGATTTTGCAGAGAAAACTAGGTAGGATTTAGCCAATCACATCATGAAAAGAAAATTGGCAAACCTTAAAAGCTTCGTAGCCTTACTGCTGAGATATATTCTTTTTTTTTCTTTTTTTATTGTCTATAGCATATGTGAGGTACAAAGGGGAAAACTGTAGTGAAAATCTGCATGGCAAAATCTTCTAGCCAATACTTTGGGCGTGAACCAAAAATGGAGGAAGGTAATGCTCCAAAATAGCCAAGAGCTCTCTGCCCTGACTAACCCCTTCTAAGGACCCACCTCCCAGCCGTCTCACAGCTTCAACAAGCTGTCCCCTTAACCTTTGTGAAAATAAACAACCACCTGCTGCAACACACTCCCGATAGAGTGGAAGATAAGCAATTGCCACCCTGAGAGGGCCAGGCAGATCTCTTATGCACATCGGAGAGCTACCCCAATTCAAAATCATCATTAGATTCATATAATGTTCTTGCCCTTGCTTTAATCCATCCAAGAAAGCTGCCTCCGACCAGTGCTCCCGAAGAAAAGCCCTTAGCTCAGGGGCAACAGCCTCATCATCGGACCTAGCAATGCTGTCTGCAACAGCATAAGTAGCAACAGGGTCGCCTAGGAAATCAGAACGGAGGAGAAACGCCACACCATCAAGTGACCCACCACTTCGCTCACCAGCAGCCTTGAGAATTTCAATGCTGAGGGCTGCAAGAACATGCTGAGGTACATGAGGGAGAAGATATGCAGCAACATCAACTTGGCTACTGGAAGTGGCAGCTGTAAGGGCAAGACATAGTTCCATGTCACGGCAACCTCTGTTCACAAACCACTGTACAACTAGCATACAGCCCCTTTCAGCTGCTCTCATCAAAGGACCTAAAAATGCTATAGCATTGCCTTCTTCCACTAGACATTCCATTGTACCTATTTTGCAGTAATGAGAAGCAAACCCAAGGGCCAGATCAACATCAACATCCAAGCTGTTCCTCTGGGCAATCTGAACAGAAATTCCATGTTAACAAGCAAAAAATATGAGAAACAAATACAAATTTAGAAAGCATTTAACGTCTCAAATAATCTCTCTTTCTCTGTCTCCCTCTCTCTATCCATGGAAATAAACAAATACAACATAGAAAAAACATATAAAAATGGATAGCAGGTGAATGCACAAGACCATATAAAAAACGCAAGAAATGACTTGGATAAGATGAACAAGGATATTCACCCATCTAGTTAATTCATGCTCCAAAACCTCTAGCATTTAGGTCTAAAGGCTACTTTAGTTGAGTACATATATCCTTCGCAGTCTGCCCATTTGTTAAAATTTCACATGGCAAAGAAAGCAAAAAATGCAAAATCCTAGCTTTACTTACAGTCTTCATTTTTTTTCCCCCTTAAATTTTTCCTTACTAACTGTATAAAATTCATATGCACCTTTAAACTCTGTTCCAAATGCAACTATTTAAAAAAGAAGGAATTTCAAATCGCCAAAACACTCCCAAAGGCCAAAGTATATCGCTTAGTAAAGCATAATGATTCAGAATTGAGCATGAACAATACACAAACCATATAGTGTTGGCTCTTTGACCAAAGTAGTAGGAATCATTTTTCCCCCAAAATAAAACTATCAGTTGTTCCCTTAAGAAACATCAACAGTAAAGAACGAAAAAGAAACATGTTACCTGCAATAAGATGCGCACAAGTTCTGTACTTCCAAAACGAGAGGCTTCAAGAAAACATTGGTTGACATTGTCTGCACCACCTTCAACCAGCATACCCAACAATCCTTGTATTGCAGTAGCTGATATCCCAGATGCCCAACCAGGATCAAATGAGCTAGAGAACAAAGTAAGAGGAAAACAAGCTGCATCGAAGGCCTCCGTGAAATCCTTTCCCGTGAGTTGATTACCAGCGAGGTCTAAAAAAGTCTTGAATGCAGATAATTGGAGTTGAATCTCAATAGCTGAGTTATGACTCACTCTATCCCTATTCCCCTGGCAACGAGAGTGAAACCCTATACATTTTAAAGCCCATTCAGTAAACTTTTGAACCTTGGCACCAGCTTCTGCTTTCAAGACCTCATCCCCATTGCATTCCTGGAGACGCTCATGCAACCTGATGAAAAAATTCAGAGGAAAAAAGAATAAGCACATCAATACATGCTAAGATTCAAAGTTACATTCAGCATACATACTGTCTACAAATAGTCAATGCAATCTTAGTTTTTACTTGGCTTAATGAACCAAATACAAAACTTTGAATCAAGTATCAATTATGGAGAATTCTTTCTTCCACATCACTCATATATATCTGACTAAACATTGATATCAATTATGACCACCTAAAGGAGTTGTATGCTCAAAGCACCACCATGGGCTGACATGGATATATTTTATGCATAAAATATGAAATTGCTCACTGACATAAAATGTACAATTATTCCAATAATAATTAAATTGTTAAAATACTTCTTATAATTGCCAAAAAAATTATTTAAAAGAAAACTAAAATAAAGACATTGTCTCTAGTTCATGGAGCACTAAAGAAACATGCAATTAGCACCAACGAAACTCAAATTCATTTCTTAAAGAATGAATCATTAAAAAATTGATAAATTAAACCATAAACTCTTTAAGTACTTCCAGAAAATAGTGTTAGTTCACTCTTCACCAAAATAGGACCTTTTGTTGGAGTCTTTCTAATCCTATTTGAGCATATCCATGCATGTAGTTGAAAAGTAAATAATGGTTCCATTAACTATAAAACCACGGAAGTAGATGTAGGATACACCACAAGTGCACCTTCCTAGAATGTTGGTCAAACAAAGTTGCAGATAACCACATGCTCACAAAATATACACAAATAGAAAACAAGTTTCTCATTTCTCTTTTTTTGGCTTTAGTTTTGTAAAACAAATGCAAATGTGAAATCGTTGACTCATATTACTGAATAAAACAAATATTCAGGTACAATAATTTGTATTTACCATTTCCTTAACAGCATTAACCTTCCATCTTTAATTTTGAAAATATGCAAGGAAAGAAATTTTTATTGTTGATATTATTGGCATTGGAGAATAAAAAGAACATAGAATAAACTTCTAAAGAAGGATAGATATTATGAGATGAACAAATTAAAAAGAAAGGAAAACACTTCAGGACAGAAGAACAGAAAGAGCAGCTTATTTCATACTTGCAAAGCTAATTGCACGCCTGCATGAAATAATATTGTGTAATTAAACCAAAATGCCAATCATACATTAAAACAGCATAGGTAAGCAGCAAAGTGCAAGACAAATCGTAAACGGCAGCAAAAAACCAGCTAATTTGAAGGGGAGGTTTTACAGGAATATGATTGAACCAACTATGATAGATGGCAAGGCAAGTCTTGGTAGTAAAAGTCAAAAACATGTAAACAGTATTAGTGAGGTAGATATAGGATTGAAATAATTGATTTACATTTGTGATAACATAGAAGGACAGATTGGTTACAAAATGAATTCATATGTAAGAAAGTGAAAGCAGCTCTATAGAAAAGTTCAGAGAAAGGAGATTGAGATAATTCAGGATCATGCATCATAGACCAGCAAAGCACAAGTACGAAAGGTTTGAGCTTATTGAAACTTCAGAAAGAAACATGCGAGGCATACATCTGGGACACACGTTGGAACTATAGTGATACAGAATTTGAGAGCCCGAAAACTGTGTAGCCTTTTGAATTAAAATTTAGTTGGTTGTATAGCAACAGATATGCAACAGAACTTCATACCTAGGATATAGTTTGAAGCAATAGTGAAAAAGGATTCGAGGGCCCAGAAACTGTTTAGCCTTTTCAGAATTTAGTTGGTTATGTAGCAATAAAATATTCAACAGAACTTCAATCAGAGAACAAGCAAATAATATTTGTATAGACAAAAAGTCAATATTATATTCATAAGCTCGAGACATTTGCAAACAAGTACTCCAGGAAGACAAACAGCTGAAGTGGCATCAACTACAACAAGCTTTATGAGAAGTATCATTCCTCTCCTCACCACAGTAAAAGGAACATATTGCAAAAATAGTCCACCAAAGTGTTTGAACATGCATGTACAGAAAATAAAAATAAAGGAAAATTTTCCAAAGCAGATAAGCATATAGCAATAAGACAAGTTTTTACACAAGTGTGTATAGATATGCGGACTGCATGCAGATTCATCGAGTACTAGGACTTATCAAGATTTTCCAAATTAACCCATATCATTGGAAAACTAAACACCTAATTTCCATCCCCTATGAAGTCGAATTGTTTATTCCTTTTACATTTTGGCTAAACATACCTTTGAGCCATCACATTAACTGTATCTGCAAGACTCATTGTTCGGCTTTGGCAGGCAGAAACACATGAAGCCAGAAATGAAGTCCTAAGAGCAGCTCTTGTGAAGTCATAAGCACCATTAGCAATTATCTTCTTAATCAATCCAGTTATCCCATGAAGCTCTAGCTGTGTGCTCAAAAACCAGATTGAGTCCAGGGTGATGCACAAGGCATCATTAAGAGTCTGCGGATCCGCCAACAGAATCAAACTTTCAGCAAGCTCCCAATCATGGGAACTTACTGCACCCTGAAACAACCGACCTAACTCAATCCTGTCTTGTTTAGTGAGTTTCTTGTCATGGCCAGAATTCTCTTTCTTTCCTATCTCAGATTCAGTTACAACTGCATGCGACTTGAGTTTCTTTGCCCCACAACGATACACACCACACCTTTTTGACTCTTTACTTATAAGGGGTCCTTCTCTCGAGAAAACTACATTGCTTCCCTCACCCTTCTCTGGTGTCAACCTTTGAATTTCATTCTTTGGACTCCCAATTTCGTTTTCTTCAATTTCCATTTCAGCACAAAAGGACTCTTCAGGGTTAACATCATCACCCACATACATATTAGTTCCTTCAACATAGACTAGCTCCTTTTCCATTTCTTTTCTCACAACAAGCACACCAGCAGAAAATAAACAATCAAATAACCTTGAACAAAGAAGAGGTTAATTATCCCTAATAACACAAGGCAACATCCTGTAAAACTACTACACTGAACAACCTTCAATTAGAAAATTCAGAAAATTTATCATCCTCCAGATTTCCAGCTCCACGAAATAAACGGCTATCATCTAAAACTGAAATCCCAATTTCCTTTTCCCTTGTTTCTTTCAGACAATTGAGAGCTCCAAAAGATTCCAGCCAATCAAAAAGAAGAAGCGAAAATCCACTTGGTGAAGAAGAATAGAAATAAACTTCCAAGATTTAACCTCCAAATCAAAACCCAATAAGCCTAATCTAATTTCTGGGGCCAAATTATATTTGGCACTGCTCAAATGATATGAATTCACTCTAAACAGACACAAATGCGATCAAAAGAAAAGAAGCAAACCATCTGATCACCAGGAAATGGCTACACAGTTCCATCAGTAGGGAACCCTAAAAAGCAGAAACCCCTTCTTCATCAACCGAAGCCAGGATCCAGGACCAAACCCTAAAACACAAAACCAACCCATTTTCCATCAATATGCAAGTATAGCAATAAACACGTAACTTGTAATTTAAAAAAGAAACCAAAAAAAACCCACAAATATTCCAGCAACAACTAACTAAACAGAGGTTAATTGGAAATTGAGAAAATAAAGGAAAGAGATGAGCAAAAGCATGGAAAATTAGAAAGCAGAAAATAGCAATAAGAAATAAAAGAGAGATTGAGATAGCTAACCTGAACTGTAAATTGAGAGATGGAGAGAGAGAAAAGGGGAGAGAAAAACCCTCTGCCTCTGGTGTTCAGTATTTGAGAGAATTTTATTTGTTTTTTTTTAAGATAACACAAAAAAAAAAGAATAAAAAAATAAAAATAGCTTTGTCTCCACTGTACTCTTTCCCTTTTAATCATTTTCTTATAAAATTATTTTATTTATAAGAAAATTAAAAAAATAAATATATCAGTCTTTTTTTTTTTGAAGAATTTAAATTTTATAAGAATTTTAAAAATCTTTTACTATTTTAATAACGTATAAACATTTAATTTCAATATTAATAAACAGTAGTTGATGTATATAAATATAATTATTAATTAAATATGATTTGATTTGTCTAGAATGTAAAAATTGAAAATTTTCAATTTCAATTATATAAATATAATTATAGTTTTTTTTCTCTTTAAATTTAAAATTATTTTAAACGAATTGCACTCATAACATAGAATGTATTAAGTTAACATAGCATGAACTTTTTAAATTCATTTCTCATCAAATTATCATGAATGTAAAATAAATTTTCAATTAAAATAATTAAATTGGCACAATTTGACACTTATAAATTATAAAAATAAAATGTAAAACGCAGTAATCAGTAAAATATATATACATGTGTGAATGTCTTTTGCAAATAAAATGAAATAAACTTTTATGTATATGAAAATTTTTAACTTAATATTAAAATATTAAAATAATAATAATATAAAAAGATAGTAAGATTTAAAGTAAATAATAAAAAAATAAAGGGAAGTGTAAGGGAGTGACAGAATCATGAAAATGAGAGTCACCAGAAAACCACAAAAGGAAAGGAGAGAGAGAACATTGGTGGGTCCCATGTTTGCAACACCTCCCAGTACAATCATTACACATTTTGCATATTCTCTCTCTTCTCTCTCCTGTCTTGTTTTGTCATTTTTGTTTCTTTGATTGCCACTTTTCATTTATTATTATTATTATTATTATTTTATTTTTGTGATGGGGGCACCCTACCTTTCTTCTTTTGCCAAATGGGGCAGATTCAAATACTCAACGCTTATGTCCACCAAATATATTTTACTACGTGTCATCAAATAACCCTTTCCTGTTACTCTTCTTTGGGTCTGGGCCCATCAGCCTTATGGCCCATCTCAAAGCCCAAAAAAGTTTGAGGTTCAGGTCAGCCCAATATCATTGTTGTTCAATATTATTATTTTTATTAATTACTAATTATTATTATTAGATAGCCGAATTCCCGATGGTTGGTGTGTGGTTCGATCAATTTATGCAAGTCAGAGATGGTGCTCTTACCCAACAACTATTGTTTTGTTTGATGATAGAAGTTTTAATTAGCTGCGGACTCCATCAGCGACGTTTGGAGTTTTTTTATATCAACTGCTAACTCATTTGTATATGTACTATATTTGCACTTAATTAATTTTATAAAATTAATTACTAATAAAATTAATTTTTTAAAATTAATATTTTTTATAATCATTTATTTATAGTTATTTAAAAACAATAATTTTTAATAAATATTTTTTTACATAAAATATTCAATGTAAACATTAAAAAAATACATTATGAATCATATATGTAAAAAAGTTTATATCATTAATGGTTATTTTACATGTTAACAACGATCAGTACCAAATATTTGAAGAAATTATCGTTTATTAGCGAACTGTTAAAATCTCAGTCTTAGGTATTTTTATGTATGATATTATCTTGGAAAAAAATAACGAGTCTATAAGTTTTAGCATAATTAATACATGAGAATCTCACTTTTCAAGAAACAATTACTAGGTCTCTAAATTTGTATTTTGTTAACGATATGGTCTTTTTGTCCACCAGATTTCTTTTTTCCATTAGTCTTTACACTTGAATTTAGTCCAATGAGAGAGAATAAAATAAATCCCTAAAACACCCTAACCAAATTAACATATATGACTTTTTAAAATAGGTTAGTATCTCAAACTTAGAAAAAAGAAACCAGAATCGCGTTTAAGGAGAAAGAAGTTAGGGTTTTCATCTCAGAGATGTCGACAATATCATCTTCTTCAATTGGTGCCACTGATAGTGGATTGAACGGAAGGTATGTTAACATGAACTGTAGGTGTGAAAAGAATGTTGAATTTCGCATTTATGAGACGACGAGGAACAGAAATCAACTACTATTTTTGGCAAAATAATGGTCGTGGATCGTTCCTTGGTTGGTGCACACCTATTGATTGTATCCAACTAGCCAACGCTTTTGATTTCATCGACTCGAAAAGACATCAAAGGGATTACGAGCAAGATATTAAAGGGTTTAGATATGAAACATTAATTTTAAAGAGTGAAGTAAAGAGACTTGTTGGGAAGGTTCAATATTTTGTGAACCGAATCGGTCGTTGAACTTACGAAAGCAAGGGTTTAATGAACTAAAAGGTTCAACCGGATTCAATGCGATTCAACCAGATTATTATATATAATATTTTTAAATACTGTTGAACATATAAGATTCTAATAATTTTTCTAAATTAAAAAAAATCAATTAATTGCTATAAAATAAAATATTATTTTTTACCATTTTGTTATTTAAAAATTATAAGATTATTTAATTCATTTTTCAAAAAGAAATGAACAATTTTATTTATATTTTTTTTTTTTTGAAAGGAAATTTTATTGATAAATTAAATTTTTATGAATTAAATCTTAAATAAATTAAATAAATTTATGCTATTTAAAAGAAAAAGAAAAAATAAAGAAAAAAAACTATGACGTTTAAATCTAACAGGAATCTCCCAGCAGTAGCAGTTGTCCTGCTTTTTAATAAAAAAAACCCTAGCCGCAGAACAAAATTAAAGAACCTCTACTATTTTTTTTCTCGGCTAATCACAACGCTTACAGTTCCTTCTCCATCGCCTCTATATCTTTTTAGAAGACCAATACTCCTTGCATTTCGACAACAAAGAGTTAGAACAAGACATGCCTGTTTATTCTCAGGTGGCAGGCATAGGTTCCAATTTATTCTCTAAACCACTCCAAAAGAAAATCCCTAAATCTTCCAAAACCCATTTTTATTTATGATGATTCAAAGAATTTTTACCATTTAAACGATAATCTTACTGTGTTAAACCAGACTATATTCCGGTTTACGGTTAAACCAGTCAAACTGACCAGTCCTGTTCTCGGAACCATGCTAAATATTGTGATTGAGAATCTTAAGATTCTTGTAGCTGCTTGTATGATTTGCATTTTGTTGATTTTCATACTGGTTATTAGTAGTTTTGTTGGGAAGATGGGTTAGATAGGAAGGGCTGACATTTTGTATCTGTTTATCAGTGTTTAACCTTGAAGCAATTTGTATTGAATGTAATTTCTAAATTAGAGTTGTGGTGGTTGGTAACAGTAATTGAACTGTTATTGCAGCTTTGCCTAACAATTGAATGCATTATTAAACATGTTAGGTCACATGGAGAAGGACAAATGAGACAAGAAAATGACGAACTTGTATAGCAATTACAGTTTGAATGAATAGGAGAAATGAAGTAAACATTGATTTGAAGAATCAGAAAATGAAATCCATCATTTCAGCTAAAACCATTTGAGTATTCAGGTTCTCAAAGTCAAGAAATTGCACCTAAAATCTTTGAGTTGTTCACATGTTCCTCAAAGATAAAAAAATATTACAAGATATATAAAAGATGGCATCTATATAGTTCAGCCTAGCAAAATATTACAGCAACAAGATTGTAGTTGGTTCAGATTACACCAAAAAACTCAAAGAACACAGATTTCATCTTGCTCCTTGATATGTAAGAGTACGAAAGGGCGAGGGGAATATTGGATTCCTGAAATACCTCTATGTACTTTTAATTTTAATGGTTGATTAAAAATATTATTAAGGGTAATTTAGTCCTTAACACTTTTCTAGGTCAAAAGTTGGCCATGGTAAAAAAAGTTGCTCTCGTGTTATTAACTTTTTTGTTTCCCTTATTAATTTCTGTAATTTTTAGGCTTTATTTCATTTTATGCAATTATAAATTCTTTATCAACTTTATTTTAATAGATTGATAATTAATGCATGCATGATAATGTATAGTTGTCTTAATTAAGTTTTTTAATTATTCGTTAATCAAGTTTGGATAAGCAGAAGTAATTGCAGGAGCTAAAGTAATTTTGTCCATTCCAATTTCCAAGTGTAATTGATTATTTTATTTATTTTTTTATAATTAATTTGTTAGGAACTATATATATATATATATATTAAAAGTATTTCATAGAATTGTTATTACATTATTTATTAATTAACATCATATTATCTGATTCATAAGTTTTAATGGAAAAGAGGTGAAGGATTTGAATGAAGGGGAAAAAAATGTAGTATGTGGTTAACAACATCTACAAAATTAACTCCGTAACACACTAATAATACTTTAAGCATGATTTTAAAAATCGAAACATAGTTCGAGGTTTTAATTTAAACCATTAATTCTCACTTTAATTATATTTAAACTAATCAATACTGTGCTTATCAAACTAGAATGAAGTTGTGGATAGCTTATGGAAACAAAAAATAAATAAATAAAAATATGAATAAATAACTCAATAAATATAAAAGGCTTAAGCTTCATAATAAGAGGCATGGGAATTTAACAATGCTACAATTCATAATTTATCATTCTTTTGAAACAATTTTCAAGTACTTGTTTTTATTTAGTTTAAACCATTAATTTTAAATCTATTTAAAATTCATCTCGTGGTATTACCTCCGTTCCATGATACTTGTCACATCTAAGAAAATAGTTTGTTCCAAAATACTTATCACATTTGTGGTTTCAAAGAGTAATAAATATATTTTTTTCATATTTACCTTTTGTGTATGATCAATAATTATTACTTCAATTTAATGATTTTCTTAGAGAATTAATATTAAATTAAGGGCAATATAGTTAATTTACTCGATAATTTATTATAACTTATATAAATTTAATGATTTTCTTATTGAACGTGAAATTTCAAATATGACAACTATTATGGAATAGACATATTAGAGAACCAATGGTTACTTGTGGTTATTGATACCGTGAGTTATTTATTTTATTTTTT